AAAGTTGTGAGACGGCGATTTGGCCGCTGCATCAGTTAGTTTGCTCTGGAGCCCCATCCCTTCCTGAGCTGAGACGAAAATGTGTGAGCCGGAGGCTAAAAAACTGTGAGCTAGCTCACACTCAGCTTAGAGGGAACACTGGTGTCACCCGCCAGGCCAGGCCAGCCCTCCGCCACGTGGGGCCTGGGGAAGCCCAGCTCCTCTCCAGACCAGGCCCCTAGCCAGGATTTCTGAAGTGAGGGGGGGGCATTTAAATGTCATGGGCCCTGGGCTGGAGGGGAAGCCGTGGGGCTTCGCCAGTCAGTCAGGGGGCCTCGCCCCAAGATGCCCCCCCCCACCGCAGCTACCGGCCTGCTCCAGACTCCCGCCCTCAGGGCCCCTGGAGACAACGGGGAGGATGGCGTTTGTCCCCCTCTGCCCACCCCTGCCCACTGCAGCATCCCCAAACCTGGAGGAGTTCCCCAGGCAGGTACTGGCCACCCTGACCCCCACCCCACCCCCTGCTGGGGGACCAGAGGGGCGGGGGAGCCGGCAACACTCGGGCCACCCCCGGGGGGCCTGGTGGGTGGTGGACTCAGGGGGAGCGAGAGGCAGGACTCTCTCTCACGCCCAAAACATCAGGAGGGCCGTTCCCTCTTATAAAAGGAGCCAGAAAATTCAGAGAGGATAGCAGGCATAGATCTCCACTTGCAAAGAGGGGTGTTTGTAAGGTTTTGGCCTCCATGCCACTGAGCTGAGGCATCTAGTTGGCCGCTGTTGGGAACAGAGTGCCCTTTGGTTTGACCAACCCCCCACCCCCCCAAGACGGCTGTTATGTTCCTAGCGGTGTTCCTCCTAAGCTGAGTTAATGTGAGCTAGCTCACAGGTTTTTTCAGCCTCCGGCTCACACAGTTTTCGTCTTCGCTCATGGAGGATGTGGCTCCAGAGCAAACTAATTGATGCAGCAGCCAAATGGCTCGCTCACAACTTTAATGCCAGTGTGGCTCACAAAGTAGGATTTTTGCTCATGAGACTCGACAGCTTAGAGCAGTGATGGAGAACCTTTTAGAGACCGAGTGCCCAAACTGCGACCCAAAACCCACTTATTCATCACAAAGTGCCAGCACGGCAATTTAACCTGAATCCTGAGGTTTTGCTTTAGAAAAAACAACTCATACATTAACTTAAGATGATCCAAACAAAGTAAAGAAAGCAATCCCAAATGCTTTCATTTACTTAAAACTATTTGACAGAGAATTCGACACTTTAATGATGGTCTGGGCCTGGCTGGGGCGATGGCACGCGTGCCCACAGAGAGGGCTCTGAGTGCCACCTCTGGTACTCGTGCCATAGGTTTGCCACCACTGGCTTAGAGGGAGCACCGGTTCCTAGCCAACAATGGCCCTGGAGTTTTTTGGTACCTAAACTGTCAAACGGAGAAATGAAAGGTATGTTTTGGGTGAACAGAAAAGCCTGTTGCAGGCAATGTGACCACTGCAGCTCAAAGCAAACATTCTCATGCTGATAGGGCAAATTGCCTTGAGTTTATAACAAACAGGATTTTACAAAGCTGATCATGGTAGAGGGACAAAGGTGCCTTCTCCCGGCACCTCTCAGACTGGTGGTGCTTCTCGTTTGTAGAACCTGAAGAAGAGCTGGCATCCGCAGACCCTGCGCAATGTGGAAAAAGTCTGGAAGGCGGAACAGAAACATGAAGCTGAACGAAAGAAAATTGAAGAGCTGCAGCGGGAGTTACGGGAGGAGCGAGCGCGAGAAGAAATGCAGCGTTACGCAGAGGACGTGGGTGCCGTCAAGTAGGTTGGATAGGATTGTGTGGCTGGGCAGGCTTAGTGGGTGACTCAGCTGAGCTGAGGTTTAGAGAGGCTTCACCCAGAGACCAGAATGTTTATCGAAACACTAAATGCAGCACCTCCTGGAAAAGGGGTCAGATGTGGCGTCACGGTGACCTTCCATCCCTTTTGTGTTCCAGCCCACCGCCCGCCTCTGCAGATTGTGGCTCATAGTTTGGACTAGCATCAATAATGGTGGGAATTCTTTCTGCTACCACGTGGCTTTCGGATACAAAATCTGCTCTTCAGAAGTATCCTTAGAACAAGTGTCCTCCAGTGCCAGTATTCAGTTCTGGACCATGCAAATGAATCAGGGAAAGGTTGCTGCCAAACATGTGCCGAATGTATTTTCTGCATTAGTGAATAGCACAGCCAGCCTCTTACACATCTGTGTCTAGGGGGAATGTAAGACTTCTGTCATCTCTTATTTTGGAAACTTGAACACTGCCTTTATTAGCTTTTAAGAAATCCTCTCAGTTTTCATAGAGCTTTACTGCTTGAATTGCCTTTACCATCACAGCAGTTTTGTTTGGTGGGTTACTCTTATTGCCGGACAATTGAGCCAAAGCAGGAGGGAAAGAACTTTCACAGGGCTACACAGTGAATTCATGATGGAAGCCTCATTTGAACTTGGGACTCGGGCTGATTCACACGTTCAGAAAAATCATGTAGCACTATCCTCCTAGGACTGTTGCATTTTAGAATGCAAGCAGAGGATAAGAGAGGGCCAAGATGTAACCAAGATGACTCCCTGATTCTCAGGATGTGCTGGGAGAAGTTCATGCCTATTCCCTTCCTACAGTTGCTACCGTGCCCGTAGGGGTGAGCCACTGTGGGGAATAACATTTGGATTCCTTTCCCAGATGTCTTATTTATTTATTTGTATTATTTATAGTCTAACTTGAACTCAAATATTAGGCTGATTTCCACATTGTTTGTGGCCATAAGAACATAAGAGACGCCAATGTTGGATCAGGCCAAAGGCCCCTCCAGTCCAACACTCTATGTCACACAGTGGCCAGAAATACCAGGTGCCATCAGGAGGTCCACCAGTGGGGCCGGGACATTAGAAGCCCTCCCACTGTTGGCCCCCCCAAGCACCAAGAAGACAGAGCATCACTTGCCCCAGAGCCCCTATCTATACCTTGTGGCTAATAGCCACTGATGGACCTCTGCTCCATATGCTTATCTAATTCCCTCTAATAAGAGCATAAGAGAAGCCAGTGTTGGATCAGGCCAAAGGCCCATTCAGTCCAACACTCTGTGTCACACAGTGGCTAGAAATACCAGTGCCATCAGGAGGTCCACCAGTGGGGCCGGGACATTAGAAGCCCTCCCACTGTTGGCCCCCCCAAGCACCAAGAAGACAGAGCATCACTTGCCCCAGAGCCTCTATCTATACCTTGTGGCTAATAGCCACTGATGGACCTCTGCTCCATATGCTTATGCAATTCCCTTTTGAAGCCGTCCATGCTTGTAGCCTGTCGCAGTGAATTCCATGTGTGAATCACTCTTTGGATGAAGAAGTACTTCCTTTTATCCGTTCTAGTATCCGTATCAGGGACACGTGATACTGGTATGCTAAAATTGTATGCTGATGGACCAGTCTGTGTCTATCCATCTAGTACTGCTCATACGGCTGTCACCTTAAGCAGAAATTAGAACCAAAGAAAATATTTTAAAAGACCTTACTCAGTATTATTTCTCTTATATTTAATTATTGCACCTATGAATTTTGCCACTGAGAGGGTGACACGATCATTGGTATCCG